TCACTCACTGATTCACTCTCTGTCTCACTCCCTCACTGTCTCATTCACTCACTCTCTCACTGCCTCACTCTCACTCACTGGCACATTCACTCACTCTCTCACTCACTCATTCACTCACTTCCTCACTCACTAAATGCCTCACTTGCTCACTGTTTCACTCTCACTCACTGCCTCACACACTCATGGCCTCACTCACTCACTGTCTTACTCTCTCACTCACTCACTGCTTCCCCTGCTCACTGACTCACTCACTGTCTCACTCACTCACTGATTCACTCTCTGTCTCACTCCCTCACTGTCTCATTCACTCACTGTCTCACTCTCACTCACTGCATCACCAGCTCACTGCCTCACACACTCACTGTCTCACTGTCTTACTCACTCACTGCCTCACTCTCACTCACTGGCACATTCACTCACTCTCTCACTCACTCATTGACTCACTCACTCACTGTCTCACACACTCATGGCCTCAATCTCACTCACTGTCACAATCTCACTCACTGCCTCACTCACTCACTGTCTCACTCACTCACTGCCTCACTCACTCACTGGCACAGTCACTCTATCACAAAAAATAAAAAAATAAAAATAAATAAATAAATGATCACTCTTACCACCAATAGTACAACAATCATGATAAATTTTACACAGATAAGAAAATTCAATTCATAAATCTTTATTATAAAAAATATTTCAGGTGTTTACATTTATTTTACCCAATGTATATTTTAAGCAATGTCAAGACAATAAAATTTCAGGATAAAGAAACTAGGACCATAGCCATATCATGAAAAGTGTATCATTAACCCTCAGATCTGGGTTTCAGGCCTGGCAAGAGCACTAAATTCCCATGTGGCAGTTTTTCCTTTGAAACCCGTCTCTCTATAAAACGAGGCAACTGAAATAAATGAGTGAACTGCCACCTCAGTTTAAACTCCTGTAACTCCAACTGAACGGAAGTTGGCTCATTTCAGAATACTAACTTACTTCTACAATCAAGTGGACAAATTCTCTAGGGATCTTAGATATTCTCTATTTTAGATTTGAGGGACACTGAATATGAATTGTATGAGCCCCAATAAATTGATTTAAAAAAAAGAAGAAGAAAATTAAATATCTTAAATGATCTGTTCAGTGCCCCTGCTGCAATTAATAAAAGTAAATGTATAAGGAAACCCACCCCCCCAAAAAAAAAGAAGCTTTAATCCAGAACAAGTTGGACTGCATTTAATCTGATTTTTCCTGGGGTTATTTAAATTCAAGATTCCTATCAGTACACTCTCTCAGTACCATACTTCATTCAACTACAGATCCACAATGACGAGGTTTACAGCTACTGCTGTCGTCTTGTTAGGTGTCAATCAAGTAGGTTCTGACCCACAGTGGCCCTATATGCACAACAGAATGAAACACCTGAGCCATCTTCACAACTGCTATGTTTCAACACCTGGTTGCAGCCCCTGGCGGTGTCAAGTCACTTCAGTCCTGGGCCTTCCTCTTTTTCGCTGCCCTTCGACTTACCACGCATGTCCTTCTCCGGGGATTGGGCTGGCCCGACAAGTCCGAAGCACATGAGGCGGAGCCTCGCCATCCTTGCCCCCAAGGAGCGTTCTGGCTGCACTTCTTGAGACCGATTGCAGTCCGGGACACTTGCAATATTTTCTGCCTGCACCACAATTCAAATGCTACTGCACATAACGGCAGTTACATTCACTTTCCCTGGACCCCCAGGCCAAGTCTCAGGCAGGTGCTCATCTTCATCACTCAGCGCCTGATCCAAAGCACATTCTCTCGTGGCTGTGTCCCCGTGCCCCTGAGAACGCAGTTCTCTAGGCGACTATTAGAGAAGACCTTCTCTGGGCAGTTTTACTTTCCTAAAGCTTATGCCACTTACACAGTCAAAGACTTAGAGGTCATCTATTATCCTGGGCTCACAGTAAGACTTCTTGAGAATAATTCATTCTAATATTCACTATCAAAAATTAGGAACTCAACCAATATATGTAATAGACAAACTGAAATCTCCCAGGCCTTTGGTTGGTCATTAAAGAAAGCAGGATATTGGTTTGTTTACTTGTTTTACACAATAATCTGGGAAATGTTAGCTATTTTTGAGTTTTGTAAGGATGTTTACAATTTATTGTGAATATAACATTCAACCTGATTTTTGATCCAATTTGTTTTCCAGGGTCCCTAACCAAAAGCAATAACATTCTGAACTAACAAACAGTTGATGTGTTCTGGGGAAATCATTGCTTATGTAGTATTTCACATTTAAATAATAACAATATACTTCACAGCCCTGCAAATGCCAAACATTCAAGTCTTCTACATCATTTTTCCCAGAAAGAGTAATGATAGAATGTCAAATGCAACCCCGCAGTACCCTTTGTGATCACAAGCGCACAGGTTACAGATGATTAGAATTAAGGAGGGATAAGTCAAATGAGGCCACACAAGACCATCTCCTCCCTTTAAGGCGAGAGCAACAACACATAAAAATAAAGACTG